AGGGGGGGGCGCACGGAAGATCTCAGGGGATCACATGGTTTTTCAGGGAATGGAGGGGGGATCAGTTCTCGCCCGGTCCTTAGTTAATTTCATGCACGTTGGATTTGAATAATTAAAATTCCTATTTAGATATTACATTGCGCGAACGTATCAACAGATTATTTTCTCAAAAGAATCCAGCCTCTGAATTTCCCTCTTTCCCTCGAGGTTTTCCCAGTCCCCCAAAATTGTTTTTCTACTCCTCCGCACAGTCTCCCAGTCGACTCGGGAAAGAAAAATCGAGCGGGCATGTGAAAAATTGGGAACCATTCTTCCGCTTTCGATAATTTTTCAGAGTAATCTATATTATCAATAACGTTTTAGCAGAATCTGCCGACAGAAAGAAGTACGTTCTGTAAAGATGGAAGATTTACAGCCCATCTCAGCCGCTGAACAATTAGCTTTTTTGTGTGGAACAGTTGAAGCGCCTCAACGTTCAGCGAAAACAAGATTATTTATGCGACATTACTTTGATGACGAACGACGACGGAGAACTAAAGGCTCACAGAAACGTGCTTTCCGCCGTAAGTCCTGATTTGCACTTAGTGTTTTATAGTTTTGGCGCCAGAGCGTTGTCCCAGGGAGTCTGGGGACCAACCCCTCTTTTTATTTAAGGTCGCAAAGAATCTAATATTCAAAATAACGGTCAGCCAGAGATCACGAAATGATCTAAAAGAAGTATGGAATGCCCTACGAATTGTAAGTTAAAATTTCGTTAAACTGTTAAAAGTTATTCGATCTTTAAAAAAATCTGTATTTGCTTTTTAGTTTGACTTGCTTCCTCTGGCCATAGTTATGGCTTGTGTGAAGCTGGTCATGGATGCTATTACAAAGATGGCTACTTTTTCCGATGAAGATGATCTGTCGAAGTCACCGAGAAAGGGATATGATGCACGTGTTGTTACTGCTCGTGGTGGCATGTACACTTTTTGTTATCTCCCTGAAGAGGACCTGTGGAAGCGATTACCAGATGGTCTGAGGGACATAAACGCCAGTTCAACTCAGATGATAAAATTCCGTGATCAGTTGTTTGCCTTTTCCGGCTATCAAAAGTCAGAGAGATACGATCCTCTTTTTAACGCTTGGTCTCAGCTAAACTTTAATATAAGTTATGCAAAGGTAGCCGTTCTTAAAGGAGAAATTTATGCTGTTCAAGTTGACACATTTCGGAGGAAAACTGCTACGAAGAGGTACAATGTAAAGCAGTATACATGGGAGACACTTCACTGATCTCATTGACAGTGTAGAGATAATTCTTGTGTTGTTGCAGCCGGCAGCCATTTATACATGTTTGGTGGGTGAAAATTAGACACCGGGGATTACTCCGCCAAAGCTGAGAGATTCGACACCGTGGAGAACAAGTGGGAGGAAATTGCAGACATGCGAGAAGAAAGGGTCCGAGCTTTGGAGTGGCCTCTCAAGAAAAAATCTTCATTGCTGGAGGAATAAGCAGGAGAGGGATATTACAAACCTGTATGATGTACACTACATCGACAAATGCGTGGCAATGCATTGCGAACTTGAATATTCCACGTTATGATGGTAGTATGGTTTGTCTGAATGGAAAGCTGTACGTACTGGGTGGAAAAGTTCAGTCATTGTTCCACCTAACCTTATCTAGCTTTGATCAAGGGGACTGTATTGCCATTACAAATTGTTTCTTCAGTGTATTTTTTTCAGATTATTTTCTTTCATTGGAGTACAGTTTTAGTTTAGTTTACCATCTTCTTCATCTTCTTCATCTTCTTCAATTGCATCATCAAGATAATCCAATACTCCTTGGGAGAACTTTAACACACAGCCTTTAAATGCATGTTTCTTCTTACAGTCCTCTTCCACTGGTATGGTTGTCTTCACAATCCACTTGCACTGTGTGGAGTCATAACATTCAACTGAATGTTCTGGCTTTTTCTTAGTTTGGTCAAAGCCACCCAGCACATACAACCTTCCACCAAGACAAACCATGCTACCATG